ACTCGGCCTCTATAGTGGCGGTATCTAATGCTGTGAGTTCTACTTCCATTGTTGACTTCATTAAGATGGCTTGCTTGCAAGACTTCTATGAAACAGCGCCACCTCCAAGTGAGAACACATATCCACTCATGGTGTAAATCTCATCAGCATCAGATATCAAGTTTGCATCACAATACCCCTTTAGTACCCTTGGGTACCCGGTATAGTGAATGCCATAGCTCACAGTTCCTTTTAGATAGCGCAATACCCTCTCAAGAGCACGCCAATGATCATCTCCTGGATTTGAAACAAGCTGACTGAGTTTGCTCACAACAAATGAGATGTCAGGCCTCGTTGCACTTGCTAAATACATAAGTGAACAAATAATTTGAGAGTAACTCAATTGATACCGTGCTATTCTACGATTCTTCCTCAATATCACACTTGGATCATAAGGAGTTGAAATAGGTGTGCAGTCACTATACCTAAAGCGACTCAGCACCTTTTCCACATAATAGGATTGCAAAAGCGTTACCCCACCATTTCTTTCTCTCAATAGCTTTATGTTAAGAATAACATCAGCCTCTCCGCCGAAGTCTTTCATTTCAAAAATATTAAACAAAAAGTCTTTCACTTCCTTAATCACATTAATATTATTTCCAAAGATTAGTATATCATCCGCATATAAACATAAGATCACACCCTCCCCCCACCATATCGATAATAAAAACACATTTATTAGTTTCATTCACAACAAAGCCGGCTGATGTCAAAGTTCTGTCGAACTTCTCATGCCACTACTTAGGTGCTTGCTTTAGGCCATACAAAGATTTCAATAATTTACACACTTTTCCCTCTTGACCATTTGCTACAAATCTATCCGGCTGATCCATATAGAGCTCTTCCTCAAGCTCTCCATTCAAGAAAGTTGTCTTAACGTCCATCTGATGAACGAGAAGACCATGTGAGGCAACCAAGGAAAGTAATACTCGTATAGTCGTAAGACGGGTAACTGGTGAATAAGTATCGAAATAATCTGTCTTTTTTCTAGGTATAATCCTTAGCTACAAGTCTCGCCTTGTACTTCTCAATAGTACCATCAGGCCTAAACTTTTTCTTGAACACCTATTTACATCCCACAGGCTTACACCCATATGGACGATCAACAACCTCTCAAGTTCCATTAGACATAATAGAGTCCATCTCACTCTAAACAACTTCCTTCCATAAGTCAGCGTCAAGAGATAAATATGCCTCTTCTATAGTTTTAGGAGTGTCATCCATGAGGTATATAATATAGTTTTCACCAAAGGACTTTGCAGTCCTCCGTCTCTTACTCTTTCGAGTGACTATATTATTATCCTCCTCTGGACTTTCCACATGGGTTTCAACATCAGCGTGTTCTATCGATTCAAGCAACTATAGAAGTGTTATAGAATCATGACTAGAAGTGCCAGGCGTATTTTTTATAGGAAATTCAATCTCAAAAAATATAGCATATCTAGATTCTATAATAGTACCAACATTCACATCAGACACTCCAGAGTTTATTATTAAAAATACACCTTTGCCCAAGCTGTGAATAGCATAACCGAGAAAGACACAATCAACGGTTTTTGTCCAAGCTTTCTCTTCTTGTTAATTGGCATATTCACCTTTGCCAAACAATCCTAGGTTCGCAGATAATAAAGATTTAATCTCTTCCTCTCCTATTCCTTGAATGGTGTAATTTCTTTGTTCTTTGTGGGCACTCTATCCAAGACATGACATGCTATCAATATTGCATCACCCCACCATTCCTTAGATAGTCCCGCAGTCTCTAACATGGCGTTAACCAACTCAGTTAGAGTGCGGTTCTTTCTCTCGGTAATCCCATTTGATTGTGGTGAGTATGGCGATGTCCTCTCATGAATACTACCATACTCCGTGCAAAACTCAAAAAACTCATTTGAGAAATATTCTCTCCTTCGACCAGACAGCAACCGTTTAATTTTCTTCTCAAATTGGTTTTCTACCTCAGCTTTATAGATCTTAAAATAATTCAATGCTTCATCATTTGATTTTAACAGATACACATAGCAAAATCTAGTGCAATCATCTATAAATGTCATGAAATATCTTTTGCCACATTTAGTCAACTCGCCATTCATTTCACACAAATCGGAATGGATTAGTTCTAATGGTGCCAAGTTCCTCGCCTCAGCAGCCTTGTGAGGCTTACGAGGTTGCTTCAATGCACGCATACATGGCACTTAACACATGCATCATTTAAGGACATAGACATGAATGTCAAACATTAGAATCAACATCACAGCTCACATTGTTCATAGACTTAACACATGCATCATAGGACAAGCGGAACAAGCCTCCGCTCTCATAGCCTTTACCCACAAAGGTTCCATACTTAGATAGTATGCATTTATTAGATTCGAACACAAGTTTATAGCACATAATATAGAACCACTAATTAAATTCTTCCTTTTGAGGGGATATGCTGCATGTTCTTCAGTTGCACGGTCTTCCCCGATGCTTCAGATCGACCGTACCAACACCCCGAACAGCCGCATGCGCTCCATTCCCCATCAACAAGGAGGAAATTCTCCTGACCTGATAATAAGAAAATAAAGAAATATCAGCACACACATGAATATTGGCTCCTGTGTCAACCCAGCAATCAGGTAAATGACAAACTGGAAGAACTGTAGGTAATATATTATAAACCTCGATGTTTCTCCATCAGCCTCAACCATGTTTGCAGATTTCTTTTTAAGCTTCCATTTGCTCTCCTCGCAATCCCTAGCATAATGCCCGGGGTTGCCACAAGAGAAGCAATTTCTCTTTTTCTTGTTCTTCTTCTTATTATTATTAAAAGGTGTAGTGTTCTTTTGTTTGAGCTCTTGCTTGAATTTCTTTTTGTAGGGATTTTGAGGATTTTTCTGCACCACATGGGCACTAGAACTTCCCTCAACAATTTTCTTGCCATGGACATCCTTAGCTTTCACCTTCTCTTCAACATTTAAAGAGCCAATAAGTTCGGCAATGTCAAACTATTGTCTCTTATGTTTCGAAGAAGTAGCAAAGTCTGTCCAAGCCTGTGGTAGCTTAGTAATAATGCAGCCCGTCACAAACTTGTCCGGCAGCACTGTACCAAAATTCTCGAGTTCTTTTGTTAGTGTTTGTATCTCATGAGCTTGTTCAACCACAGAACGGTCATCAACCATCCTGTAGTTATAAAACTGCTCCATGACATACAACTCACTACCAGCATCAGACACTCCATATTTGACCTCAAGTGCATCCCACATCTCTTTACCCGTTTACAGAGTCACATATGCATCTACTATGGAGTCTCCTAGCACACTTAATATTGTCCTCTTGAACGTAGCATCAGCGTCTTGGAATACACGCTTCTCCTAGTATGTGGTCCAACTGATCTAGGTTTGGCAACAAAGTAGCAATGCATAGCAGTCAACCATAGTATGCATCTCTGATGCCACCTCTTGTAATGTGTGCCCTAAAAAACATTTGATTTCAGCATACTCGCAAAGCCGACTACCAAAAAATGCCTATCAGGTTTTTGGATTGTTTGAAATTTAGGCAATTTCAGTACCAGTTTAATCCAGAAAAATATTATCAAAATGTTGGTGATATCAGACATGTGCACGTGCGATCTAAGTGTCAAGAACATGTAGACGATACTAATTATCATGATTTTAATCGCTGAAAATAGGGGATAAACTAGAACATACCCCGCGACACCAGAGCCGGTTACGCTAGTCAACATAGCGCCTGTTGAAGTAGTCCCACTCGATGCAGCGAGTTGCAGCGCCGATCTTCCGCTGCCGCCACAAACACCGGGAAGAAGATGAGGTTGTTGTACGATCGAGCAGTCACGTAGTTGCTTCCCAAAAACTTGATTGCCAGTCTTCACCTAAGCAGATGAACTCACGAACGATGCCAGTTTCGGAGGCCTGCTCTTCCTATTCCCGTGCTCGTAGGGACCGGGACGGAAAGACTTGGCTGCAGCAGAAGCGTGGATGTCTAGCGCACGTAAGAGAGACAAGCGACTAAATGTTGTCTTGCTTTTATCTTGTAGCTGAGGAGCGGAGCGGGCACAGCTATCCACAGGAGATCAAGAGTCAGAAAACAAAAGAGACGCTCACAGAAGAAACTCCTGTCATCACCATTAGGAGTACAAACTTCCATAACTCTTGCCATGCCATTCGGAGCAGAAACTCATGTAACTCCCTCATTTAGGAATAGAAACTCCTGCCCATAATTAGCTTGAATGACAAAACTAATTCATGCACTGCATGCTCATGTGGCTCATTCTTTTCTCAACTTCTCGACATAGACAGATATGGTCCACACATATAAGTCGAGTCAACATTCAATCAAAAATCTTGTATACGACTAAATCATATAGCGCATAATATTTAATACGGGTCTTAGAATTATATACCCACGTTAAATCTAACACCTATAAGTAACCGATCGGCTCTTATAGTTTCTAGAAACTGAAGTTTTTGCAAACCGAGTAAACTGAATCCAACCGTCTGTTTAAACCGATTGCCCTGTCCAACTCATCGACGGCAGCGGCACATGGGGCATGGATACATGATACTGCTGTGTCACGCTCATCACGAAACAAACTCACTGAGACACTGCCGACATGGTCCCACGAGACGAGAGAAACGTTGGGGACGTAGCGTGGAGGTGGAGCCGTGGACAGACCAGACCGACCGATCGAGCACGCAGCCACCGGAGGCGGCGGAGGCCAGCTATCCCTGCACTGCGCATCCACGGCGGGAAGTAGCGGGCCGCCTCAAATTCGGAGCATTTTTTTTCGTGTATAAAAAATTCGGAGCATGTTTAAACCGCACCGGATGGACCCAAATCTACACCACCAACCAAACCAAACGGGCAACCCCAATCTCGGCATGGTTTAATTTTGGCTTCCTTCTATTTCTTCCCTCCACTTCGTCTCCTCCGCGACCGCACGCGGCCACGCGCCTTCTCCCATGGAGTCATCCGCCGCGGGGGGCGACACCCCTCCCCGGCCGTCGGCGTCCGCCGGGGCCTCGCCTCCGGCTCCTCCTCCCCCACCCCCGCCGCCGAGGGGGTGGCTCGCGGGTCTCGTCTCCGGCGCCGGCCGGATCCTCGCCGCCGTGCTCGGGCCCGAGCCCTCGGCTTCCGGCTCCGGCTCCATTTCATCAGCCGCGGCGTCGGACGGGGACTCGCCGTCGGCCTCGTGCTCGCCGGTATCGTACCCGCCTCCTGGCCCTCACGGCGAGGGTTGCAATGACGCCACCGGTACGAGACTCCCCCAACTATGCTTGGAAAGTTAGCGCCTTTCAGGCCCTGCCACTCTGCCTCTGGGTGCCGCATTTGCAGCTGTGTCTAAATGTTCGTGCTGTGTTGCATTATTTGCATGCTGCGTATAGGGGTAGCGACTGCGGTTCGAATGACCAAAATTCACTGAAAAGTTTTCGAAATTTGGCGTTTCGACTTCGGAATAGTTTTTTTTTAACGAAATAGTACATTGGATGCTTCAATACTTGGCAGTTTCATGTTTCCTCCATCTGCATCTGCATGGGGGATGATGGTTGTTTCTTTATTGCAGTTAGTTACTGATATAGTTATATTAGGCCATGCTGGCATGCAACTGACCTATAAAAGTCAATCCGCGCTCATGAAGTGATGAATACAAAAAAGTGTTGTTGGATCGTGGACATGACTACATTGGCACTAAGCCACTATCAGGGCTTCTTAAGCGTCTGCTTATTTCCTTACCAATAGAATTCATGTACTGGGCATATGTCTGAGCTGCAAGCTAGTGGAATGTACAACCATTTGTTTCCAACAACTAGGTGGTCCTGGATGGTCATATGAGCATTCATGATATGGGCCCAACATATATTTCACTGTACTGACCATTGAAGCCTTATGCCCCCGCCCCCCTGTAATTCAAATTTTAAATTTCTGAACTGAGTGGGAGATAAGACACGCATGAGCTCAGATATGAGATTTTTCAATGATTTATTTCCTCCGTTAACAGTGGCACATGAATCGTCAATTCTTCATGACCACTAACTCAGCAACATGATTTACCTGATGCACAGCATCAGCAAGGCTAGTGAATAGGCCAGCCAGACTGTAATCTGTTTTTAAGTCAGGGATTGATTAAACCTTGTAGTTTATTGGCAGTCTCAATCCTTCTCATGGAAATAGTGGGTCCTACCACCAATTTACATCTACTCCCTCTGTCCCATAAAAATAGTTGCTATGGGACTTGTGTTGGTCAAATTTTCTTAAGTTTGACTAGATTTGTAGAAAATATTAGCAACATTTGTATCTTCAAATAAGTTTATTATGAAAATATATTCAAAGATCTATCCAATGATACTAATGATGTACCATAAATATTAATATTTTGTTATATATTTGGTCAAAGTGAAAGATAATTGACTTCTTGGGAAGCAAGAATGACTCTTTTTATGGGATGGAGGGAGTATTATATAGTTATATTGTTGTTCGAGCTGCTAGTCATTCCATGTCATGGTTGGTCCTTTTCTTAGATAAAAACCATTTGGGTTCTGAACAACCCCAAACGGAAGGGATACCTTTAAATGTGTTTTAGTTTGTGAACTTACCTCAAATCATTTGCACATGCTATTTTAAAATTCATTTTTTCCTCTTATTTCCTAGCTTTTGGAGTATAATCATCTAAACCTTTTTTTTGTGCTTTTCATTTGCTTGGTTTTTACCAATATATCTTTCTGACATATATTTCATTACAACCTGTAACTCCTAATGTCTTAGGAATCATCAGTGTTCTGTGCTTGTTTACTTATTCTTTCCTGTAAATGGACTGTACATTTTTACTTATTGTGTTATTTTAAATGGAGTGTTATTTTAAAATTCAGTCCGATGAGTTTTTGAAATTACAGATAACGGTGATTCTCCAATCTTTCCCCTGAGTAATAATCAGTCAAATCAGGTATTCCCAGTCATTCTATTTATTACCTAACATATTATCTCCCTGTTAGTAAACATGCTCCTCTCTCTGGATTACAAGACTAGGAGTAAGGGATCAGTTACCTGAGCACGTTACAGTTCATGCGTTGAAGTCATGTAGAACTGTTTGTGATTTTAGGGTGAAAAGGAGACTGTTCTAAAAGACTACCCTGGGTCCCTAGCAATTATCTCTGAGATTGAACCAAAGGATGCCATAATGCAATTGCTTATGCAGGAGACCTATTCAAGGTATTGCATTGTATTGTATATTTTGTATTGACTTCCAATTTCCTTCTAAACTGTCCTGTTTGATTTGCGTTTTGCCTTTTCATTTAAGCATATTTTTTATCATGTATTTGAATGTGACATTCTATAAATATGTTTCAAAATTCAAACTCAACCAAACAATCACTTTACATGCTTCTCTTTCGTGTATTTGAACTATTCATTATTATATGATAGCCATGAATTGTCTCCTGCTGTGAATCTGTGATAAAGCAACAAACGTTGTGAAGTGCTGCCCTTGACTCTTTGTATTCCATTAACACCTTTTATAATCCTGGATAATTTAATACTTGATGGTGGCAGATTGGCAGTGGTTGAAAATCTAGAAACTATGTAATCACTATTCAATAGGACATAATTTCTTCTTTTTTCTATTAGGTCTGAGTGCAGCAAGTTTATAAAGATAATTCAAGATCGGGTTTTAGACTCGGATTCAGGTGATATAGATGCTGGTGGGTTTGCTCTTACAAGTGCTCAGAAGGCTGGCAGACTAGCCGTAGATGGATACTCTTCATTTAATCCACATGAATCCTCACCTGCAACTTCTAGTCTTCAAATGCATGGCTGTGATAATAGTGCTGCTGTGGGCACAATTCCAAAATTTACTCATACCAACCAAAGCCCTTTCATCAACGATGCTAAGAACATAAACCCAGTGAGTGCTTTTGCTTGTAAAAATTTAGTTTGTTTCAGTGTATATTAATCATGACTTCATGATATATTGCTGCACAATGCATACTACTGCAATATGTTTTGTTGATTGGTTCATGCGCTGAAAAATACCCTGGAAGTATTAAATCTTCAGGAGATTTTTCTCATAGGTCTTATCCAGCAAATGGTGTTTGAGGCGGTCTTCTGATATTCAGTTAATCATACATGCACCTTAAAGTGATGTTACTACCTCCACCCCTAAAAGAAAATCATTATAGTTTTGTCCTGAAGTCAAACTTTCTTAAATTTGACCAATATGGAGAAGAGTCAGCATTTATGACATTAAATAGACGTACATATATTTCTTGATGAATCTAATGATACTTATTTAGTACAATACATATTAGTACTTTTATATATAAAATTGGTCAACCTTGATATTTTTTATTTAACACAAAATTAGAATGACTTTCTTTTAGGGGCAGAGGGAGTACTTGCCAATTTTTAGTTCGGTTGCTGTTCTGTAAGCTCACACTGACCTAGCTTATTATGGTTTTCTTCATGGACATACATTATTAGTTTCATGTTTAAAGTTTTTGGTTACACATACATAAATTCCTAACTGTGTGACCTTAATCTAGTCTCAAGCACTGATGTATTCAGAACTGTTGTTGTTGTCAGTATGCAAAATATTTTGTATCTTTATGCGTCCAATGCACAATTAGTGTGTTGCTATATATATCTATTCGAAACTGACTGAAGTAACTTTCTTTTCACTATATAAACGAATTTAGTTTGATGAGTATTCTTTTGAATCTTACAATCACAAAATTAGGGATTTGTTTTGGTTTTTTATTTCTTCAACTCTGGAATGAAAGAAATTTATTGCTGTATAATTGACTGCAGGTTCTCAAACGAAATTATTCTGTTAGAGAGGATGCATATGGGGAGATTCGAAGAGTCAGGCCAAAGATCAATGGAAATTCGTGGGACATTTCAAAATTCAAGCAAGTTGATATTATTCGAAATCATCCAGGTTGAGATCAATCATTTTAGCAATTATTTGAGAAAGACCACTAAGCCTCCGAAAGATTACCAATTTGTGTACATCTACAACTTATACCTATTTTTCTTATCAGCTGCAAATTCACGTGAAGAGCTCACTGCCAGGGATCCAAATGCTTCCAGAGATGGAAAGAAACTATTAAACGATATTATGGGAGCCAACAATTTAACATACCCTAACTTTATTTCAAAAGTTGAAACTGCTGATGAAATATTAGATGTCCCCAATAAACCTTCAGCTGTAACTCCACAGCTATTTGATTCCAGTTCTCAGCAAGCTGGTAAGGAACAAAAAGGTTTTGGTGCCACAACACTTAATCAGTGTTCTACTGAGGTAGTGATATCCCACTGTACCCAATATTTGTTGGATGCCTTTCTTTCTCGTGAGAACATGCTATTTGTCGTGACATTAAGATGACTTTTACCATAGGACCTGAAGAAAGGCTTTGCTTTGAAGGTGGAGCCTTTGAATGCATTTATTCCTTTCGAGCAGCAGATGATGGACTTATCACACAAGAAGCAAGAGCGTATGTTATCGTCATTGAATATGTTTTCTTGCTGGTCATATGAGATTGATGCCTCAACATCCTCTGAATTACTATTATTGTTGCTTGCAATTATTGAGCAGATGCTGCCTGTGACGATTCATGCTCTCTCTCAAAATTAATGTTGAAGGAGGATATTGAGGCTGCACCCAGGTAGTATGTCATACCACTCTTCCTAGACTATTATTCTGTGCAAGAGTGTAACCAACGCTATAGACTGTCATGGCTTACTATTGTGGTTGCTATATAGGAGACCACTGTCACTGTTAACTTTAACTTTGTATTTAGGATTCAAAATTACACATTTCTAGAGCACATGTGCCTCTTTTACGATGAGCTGTCATCATTGATCACTTAATATGGACCACTTGAATTCCATCTTTCAAGTTGTAGTGAAGAGTCGTCGGGTACCATACTATGCCCAAGTTTTTGTTTGTTTGTTTTTCTGTAGCTGTCAGGTTAAATGTCTTCTAAAGTTAATAAAAGAAGTAATGTGCCAATGAAGTAACCTGTTAGATGTTTATTTTCAGCCTGCCGATGGGCATTCAAGTACAAAATGGCTCCAAGAACCGCAGAAGGAGGCAACCCAACTTACAAAAGACCACACCAACTCCAACAAGGTCACCTGCAAAAGGCCCACATCGAAAGAACAACGATGGCATAGTCAAATCTGAGATGGACTTGCTTGAGCAAAGTAAACTGGTACTGATGGAACAACAACCAGAGTTGGGAGACGTTCCGGTGAAGAGACCTGTTGGGAGGCCCAGGAAGGCGAGGTAACTTCCGGTATTTCTCATTTTATATAGGAAGGCAAGGCATGGTTAACCTTACATGCCCTTGGTTGTAATCATGGTCTACTTGTAAACTAGGACTGGACCTAGCTCAGATGATCCGAGCACCCTGCTTCTTAGGCTTGAGTTCCGTTTGGCTTGAATTTGGGTGCCTTTTTCAGTTTCCTGTAACTTCTGTAAAGTGTGAGCCATCTTAATGCCAATCTTAACTTATCGAGTTTTTGAAGAACTTGGAAAGCCACAGCAGACAGCAGGACTAGAGAACTGAAGTTTTTATGTGTGCGTAAATGTTTCAGAGAAGGGGACTCCGAGAGTCCGGACAACTGGACAAGGGGAAAGAGAGGATGTATTGACAATTGGCATCATTATTACCAAATCAACTCCATGTTGTCCTGTTTCATAAATAGTATTGTCAGCAGCAGATTGTTAAATTTCTAGCCTGTCTTATGTTACACAAATCATATGTCGTTTTATCGCCAGTCGTAGCTTCAGCTCGCGTACTGCTTCTCTGGACAGAGTATATCCAACAGTGAAACAGATTGGCCACACTGGTTAGACAAAAGTCCAAAAGGGTCAGGTGTGAAAACATAAACCTCGACCACGTCCTAGTCCTATCCTCCTTCGCCGGGATCAGAGGGACTTTCCCTTGCCGTTACTTGGAACTGCAGTTACACATTAGAGCACTGCAAAAAATTCATGTCCAACCCCCTCATCGAGCGCATTGGTCAGAGGCTACATGCATGGAAGGGGAGGTGGCTAAACAAAGCCGGCCGCCTCATCCTTGTCTCCTCCATCCTTTCCTCCATGCCAATCTACCACCGAATAGTGTTCCCTCTAACAGCTTGGGCAAAAAAGAAACTAAACAAAACCAGACGATCATTCTTCAGGAAAGGTGATGAAAACACAAATGGAGGCCACTATCTAGTTAACTAGCCCACGGTCACTAGACCAAAAGACATTGGAGGCCTAGGGCTGCCAGACCTGGAGAAATTTGGAAGAGCTCTTCGCCTCAGTGGCTTTGGCAGGAATGGGTGCACGAGTCCAAACCATGGAGGGGGTCCGACCTTTCTTGCAATAAGGCTGACAGGCTACTCTTCAATACATCAACCATAGTCACGGTTGGAGATGGCCAAAAACCCCGTTTTTTGCACAACAGTTGGCTGGAAGGGGAAGCGCCCAGAAATTTAGCACCCCACCTCTTCCAACTGGTAAGGAGGAAAAACAGGACGGTCCAACAAAAGCTACACAACAGGTGAAAAGCCCTAGTTTGGTTTTGATAATCGATTAAACCTATTTGGACTAATTCTTGCATCTAAGTGTGTGACTAGATAGGATGGTCCAACCCAAAGTGATGGAGCTAGGTGGCACTCATGGATGATGTTGGTGGACTCATGTGATGATCAAGCTCCGGACTTTGGAAAAGAAGAAAGAGAAACAAAATGGGCTCAAGGCAAAGGTATAATGAATAGGACCATTTTGTTTTCGGTGATCGAGACACTATATAGAGTGTGATCACATTTAGGATAGATGGTCGTACTATTAAGAGGGAAGCTCTTATCGGACAACTCGATCATCTAGTGCCACTAGGTGTTGAAAAACTTGCATATGCATTCTAGGCCTAGTGCACATTCGGTGAGAAAGTGATTAACCTTTGAAAAATGATTGTGAAAATTCTAACACACTTGCACATGATTGTGAGACACTTGGAGTGTTAGCACATTTGCAAAGGTGGTGAAAAAGGTGAAGAAAAGGAGACGTAACCGGGCTTGAAGTGCTGTCCCGAGGGCACCGCCATGCCCTGTCCGGTGCACTGCCACCCTAGCTGAGGAGGCCAAGAGGGAGGTGTTCTGGTGGGGCACCGTCACCCTGTCTGGTGGCACCGCCACCCCTAGGGCGGTGCCCACCTAACCCCGCCCGAACAGCAGCAGAGTGAGCACGGACACCGGTGCGTTCGGTGTACACCGTCACGGTGAGGGCGGTGCACCGCCTGGTCATCGCCACTAGTGGGGCGGTGCCACCACTGCTTTTCAGCTGAGAGCGAGGGAAATGGGGCTGGGCACCGCCGTGGGCACCACCACCCCTAGGGCGGTGCACCGCCATAATTTTCCAGAGACTGGTGTTTTTGGGCAGCTGGCTAGGTGGTCATCGCCACTCCAGGGGCGGTGCCACCGTCGCCTGTCCGGTACCCCAACGACTAGTGATGACCGTTGGAGGGGCACCGCCACCCTAATGTCCAGTGATCGCACCGACATGTCCGGTGAGCTCGCAGAAAGTGCTTCAAAGGGGTAACGGCTCTATTTGCTTGTGGGCTTATAAATAGAGGGTGTGCACCTCTTACACTTACATACACCCTTGGGAGCTGAGCACACCACTCCACTCACTTGCACACTTGATTTTATTATCTTGAGTGAGATTGGAGAGCCTCTAGTGCATTGCTTAGTGGTCTAGCATCTTATGGCACTAGTTGGGCGATTTGCGCTGGTGGAGAACTTATTACTCTTGGTGTTTACTGACACCTAGACGGCTCGGTGATTGGTGGATCGTCGAGCGGAGGAAGGTGATTGTCTCCAGCTTCGATCATTGTGATTGTGAGGGGTTCTTGTGTCTTCCCCGGCGGAGCGCCAAAGGCAACTCTAGTGAATTGCACGTGGCTTGTAGATCCTCATCTTGTGTTGGTTGTGCGGCACCCGGTTGCGGGTTAGGCGTGTGATGCCTATTAGCGCGTGAACCTCCAAGTTAGTGAATCGCCACAACGGTCACTAGCTTGCCGGCAAGTAAGTGAACCTCGGTGAAAAAATTGATTATGTCATCATTGTCTCTTTGGTATTTATTGGCATTCATTATTTGATCACTTGCCTCGACGATATATCTCCACTACTCTATCTTGCATTTACTTTCTTAATGTAGCTAAGCTCTTCAGTGTAGTTAGTTTTGAGAGCTAGCTTTTTGCTTGTGTAGTTCGGTTAATTAGGCTTTTTAGTTAGTCTTTGAGAGCTCACTAATTTAGTGGTAGTGACTGGTAGGTGGCTTGCATTTTTAGTAGGCTAGCGTAAAACTTGCTTCGCCTCTTATTTGCCTAACCACTTAGCTTAAGTGTTGTTGTAGAAATTTTTATAGGCTATTCACCCCCCTCTAGCCATTACGACCTTTCAACGGGACATGGATACACTCTTATGGATAAGATCACCACTCCTATTCACATTGAGGAGTTCGTCTCCCTTTGGATCAGAATTCAATTGTCCAGCTAACTCCATGCTCGAGACACCATAGCTTAGAAATGGACGACCAAGCATCGCTACTCCACTCGATCAAGATATCGAATCGATTCAGCCTCCTATAAAAGATTCCAGATAACCAAATCTAGAAAGCGCGGTAGAAAACAAATGCAAAGTTTTTGCTTGGATTCTGGTTCAAGAAAAAATACTAACGGCGGATAATTTACAAAAAAAAGGGGATGGCCGCACCAGGAACACTGCGTTCGGTGCGACGGACCTTTGGAAACTAGTTTACACCTAGCCCTCTAATGCCTTTTCGCCAAGGCGGTGTGGAACCAGGTGCTGGCATGGGAAGATTTCGACACCCAACTCGCCAATACACGACCAGAACCGATGTATATACATGATTGGTGGGACAAAGCCGTGCAAAAGGTGCCCAAGCCGATGAAAAGGAAGTTCAACGGAGTGAGCGATCTACGTAATATGGAACATTTGAAAGAAAAGAAATCGACGAATATTCAACAACACTTCAGAGTCACCAATGCAGTTGACCTCCAGAGTTAGGGAAGATATTGTGCAAAGAAAGAGAGCCAGCTTAGGGCCTGTTTGGATTGAGGGAATTCAAAAGGGATTTTAAAGGAATGCATTCCTGTGAAAAGATTTAGAAGGATATGTATGGAATGGAGGAAACGGACAGACTGTTCCTTTGGAAAGGATTCATTGGTTGCACAAAAGGTAGGAAAAGAAAGAATCCACACAGAACCAAGAGAAATCTTCGTCGCTCGCTCTGTTGCTCGTGACGCTTGCTAATCATGGCCTGGCAGTCAGGTCTTGCCGCCCACCACGCATTCTCACGAGCCCTGCAGCTCGCGCCGACGCCGACGCCGGTGCCTGCCGTGGTCGCTCGCACTCACTCGGTTGTTCGGTCAGTCGCGCCGCCACAGTTTGCGCCCGCATCGCTGCAGCTCGCGCGCTGGGTCGTCCACGGTGCTCGCACGCTCGGTCGTCCACGCCGCTCGCACTCAAGTTGTCGTAATTGATTTGTAAAATCCTGTGTTATAATTCCTACGATCCGAACACCTCTATCTACGTCTTTCCTGTGTTTTCACATTCCTCTGTTTTCCCACGACACCTACACCCCATTCATGTATTTTTTTTTTCTTTCCTCTGTTTTGCATTTCTGGGTTCCAAACAGGCCCCTAGAGAAGGGATAAAACCCATTTGTTGAATATGGTGTCTTAACCGCATGTTTTGTTTGCCCTCGAGAGCTATTTCCCTTGCACGTAAAACTCTCTTTCCTCTATTTTAATTGAAGCCGTTAGGGTGAAAAAAAGTCCAAAAGGGTCAAGCCCTAAAGCGGGAATCGACGGCGGGTGGTCAGAATTCGCCGGAAGGAGTCGGGAGATCAGATGTGCCGGCAGCACATTTGCGCCACTCGATCAGGGATCGGTGCCAGTATGCCACTGACTGATCCGATCAGGTTCAGATCTCCATCTGCCAAACCGAACTGCAGAGCGGGTCGCCTCGCCAGTCGCCGCACTCTTCCCGCCAGCCAACTTCCCGTCCACGGTCCACCCGCTCCCGCCACCGTATCCGTAAACCCAATCCCCTTTCCCTAGGGGGACATGCTGCGCGCGGGCCTCCGCCTCCCTCCACGCTCACGAGCTCGTAGTCGTCGCCTGCCGCTCCTGCACCGAGCGGCCAACCCGCTCCGCCGCCGCCGATGGAGGCCACCGGCCGGGGCTGTTCCCGAACAAGCCCACCCTCCCGGCGGGGCCGAGGAAGCGGGGCCCGCTCATCCCGGCCGCTCCCCCGCCGCCGTCGCCCTCCTCGCTCCCGCTCGACTCGCTCCTGCTCCACCTCACCGCGGCGGCGGCGCCGGCCCCGGCACCCGCGCCGCGGCGGTCGCACCCGACACCGACGCCGCCGCACTCCTTCCTCTCCCCCGCCGCGCAGGCGCTCGTGCTCGCCATCTCCTCGCACCCGCTCCCCACACTCCCGGCCTTCCTCGCCTCCCGCCGCGACGAGCTCCTCCGTGCTGACATCCCGTCCCTGCTCAAGGCGCTCGAGCTCTCGGGGCACTGGGAGTGGGCGCTCGCGCTCCTCCGATGGGCCGGCGCCGAGGGCGCCGCCGACGCGTCCGCGCTCGAAATGGTCGTCCGCGCGCTGGGGCGCGAGGGCCAGCACGACGCCGTCTGCTCGCTGCTCGACGAAATGCCGCTCCCGCCCGGGTCCCGCCTCGACGTCCGCGCCTACACCACCGTGCTGCACGCGCTCTCCCGGGCAGGTCGGTACGAGCGCGCGGTCGAGCTCTTCGCCGAGCTCCGGAGGCAGGGGGTGGCGCCCACGCTCGTCACCTACAACGTCGTGCTCGACGTGTACGGCCGGATGGGTCGCTCGTGGCCGCGGATTGTCGCCCTCCTAGATGAGATGCGGGGCGCCGGGGTCGTGCCCGACGACTTCACCGCCAGCACGGTGATCGCCGCGTGCTGCCGTGATGGGCTTGTTGATGAGGCGGTGACATTCTTCGAGGACCTCAAAGCCCGGGGCCACGCCCCGTGCGTGGTCACGTACAATGCGCTGCTCCAGGTGTTTGGCAAGGCCGGAGACTACACCGAGGCACTGCGCGTGCTCAAGGAGATGGAGCAGAACGGCTGTCAGCCAGATGCTGTGACGTACAATGAGCTCGCTGGAACATATGCCCGGGCTGGGTTCTACGAGGAGGCTGCCAAGTGCCTGGACACAATGACATCCAAGGGTTTATTGCCAAACGCATTCACATATAACACCGTGATGACAGCTTATGGGAATGTTGGGAAGGTGGATGAGGCGCTTGCTCTGTTTGACCAGATGAAGAAGAGCGGGTGTGTGCCGAATGTGAACACATACAATCTTATCCTTGGCATGCTTGGCAAGAAATCATGGTTCACTGTGATGCTAGAGATGCTTGGAGAGATGTCAAGGAGTGGATTCACACCAAATCGGGTCACATGGAACACAATGCTTGCAGTCTGTGGGAAGCGTGGCATGGAGGACTATGTCACCCGGGTTCTGGAGGGGATGAAGTCTTGTGGAGTTGAACTGAGCCGAGACACCTACAACACCCTGATAGCTGCATATGGTCGGTGTGGCTCAAGGACTAATGCTTTCAAGATGTACAATGAAATGACCAGTGCTGGATTCACCCGCTGCCTGACCACATACAACGCATTGTTGAATGTGCTATCGCGACAAGGTGATTGGTCCACTGCTCAGTCAATCGTAAGCAAAATGAGGACCAAGGGGTTTAAGCCAAATGATCAGTCATATTCACTACTGCTCCAATGTTATGCAAAGGGGGGCAACATTGCAGGGATAGACGCAATTGAAAAAGAAGTTTACGGAGGTACTGTTTTCCCAAGTTGGGTTATCTTGAGGACCCTTGTCATTGCCAATTTCAAGTGCCGACGATTGGGTGGCATTGAGAAGGCGTTTCAAGAGGTAAAGGCCAGAGGTTACAATCCTGACCTCGTCATATTCAACTCCATGCTGTCAATGTATGCAAAAAACGGGATGTACAGTAAGGCCACCGAGATCTTCGATTCAATCAAGGAGAGCGGCCTGAGCCCCGACCTCATCACTTACAATAGCTTGATGGACATGTACGCAAAGTGTAGCGAATCGTGGGAGGCTGAGAAGTTACTGAATCAGCTCAAAAGCTCTCAGGTGAAGCCTGACGTTGTGTCCTATAACACGGTCATAAACGGATTCTGCAAGCAAGGGCTGATTGGAGAAGCTCAGAGGATCCTCTCTGAGATGTTTGCTGACGGCATGGCTCCCTGTGTCGTAACCTATCACACACTGGTTGGGGGATACGCCAGCCTGGAGATGTTCAGCGAAGCTAGAGAGGTTATCAACTACATGATTCAGCACAACCTGAAGCCTATGGAGCTGACCTACAGAAGAGTAGTCGACAGTTACTGCAAAGCGAAGCGATTCGAGGAGGCTCGCAGTTTCTTGTCTGAGGTTTCAGAAACTGACCATAATTTTGATAAGAAAGTGCTGCATACGCTCGCAGCCTATATAGAGGGTGCACAGTTTGGAAGGTAGGCTGCCTGTGCTAAAAGGTGGACTAGGTACAGTTTGGAAGGTTTCTTTGGTTACAGGCAACTGGCAGTTTGCAATTTGCATGGTACGTATATGCTCAAGTTTTGATAGGCAAGATTACTAATAATCTTGAAGAGCCCGCGCTTGTCAGAGACGGCGATAATATTGCACCTTGCAAATGGTGCTGTATGATGTCAAAATAGTCTCATTCTTCAACCGGTGTATAGTGTACCTATAACCACATTCTGTTGTGCATACTTTAGACTGCAACAACCTGAAGCCTGAAGGGCAGCTGATGTATGATGTATCATTCGATTTCTTCTAAATATAAATTGCACCATTCAGGTGATCTCAAATGGGCAACCTCATCAGTTAGCAGCATCCTGAGTACTCTATCCATTCCTACTGCTGTCGTTCCTCGGCTGTCCGCTCTCAACTCGCATGGTGAAAATATCTCGTGTCGGACGGGATGATCGGGGACCGTCACGTGGGGTGGAGCCGTGAGCACGAAGCAGTGTCCACGTCGCTTTCGGCCTGCCGTGCACGCTGCTTGCTCGCCTGCTCCGGATGTCTGGCACGGCAACGGCTGAACGGCATGGCGTTGAGGCGACAGAAGATTAGCAGGAAATGGACTTGTTTGGTTTGGACGTTTGGTGAACACTGAACACCCGTAAAAGTACCATCCGCACAAAGCAAAAGCGCCTGCAAACAAGCTGTCGTAAATGGTAAATTCGGCAGATAAGTCCAAAGCATTGCATTCGGCCAGTTTAGCTGTTTCTGTTGTCCTGGTACAGTTTGGCCGCTTTCTCTTGTCCTTGTTTACTGTATATACACACTGTACTATTACGTTATTCCAAGCAAGGGAAGTGACACTTGATGCTGAATGCGTAGGTAGGTGGTCGATCTTTCTCAGTGAACAGAACACTGCACGGACTTGGAGACGATCGGTGGCCGGCGATCGTCTTATGGCAGAGGAAGTAGAATAACAGACTGCAAGTAAGCTTCATGCTGAAATTATAGGAAAGAGAAGAGCGGAGAGAAGAAAGGTGGCTGTAAGTTTTCAGCTAGCATATGCACAAACTTTAACAAATTTTCTGAGATAAGAAAATGAGTCATGTATTAATAATGAAAAGCTAACTACTATATAAGTCGGCTGAGAGATATGTTGCAAAGGTCTATATAACAAGCAAGAAGCTATATTATTAGGCGACAGAAGATTAGCAGGAAATGGACTTGTTTGGTTTGGACGTTTGGTGAACACTGAACACCCCTAAAATTACCATCCGCACAAAGCAAAAGCGCCTGCAAATAAGCTGTCGTAAATGGTAAATTCGGCAGATAAGTCCAAAGCATTGCATTCGGCCAGTTTAGCTGTTTTCTGTTGTCCTGGTACAGTTTGGCCGCTTTCTCTTGTCCTTGTTTACTGTATATACACACTGTACTATTACGTTATTCCAAGCAAGGGAAGTGACACTTGATGCTGAATGCGTAGGTAGGTGGTCGATCTTTCTCAGTGAACAGAACACTGCACGGACTTGGAGACGATCGGTGGCCGGCGATCGTCTTATGGCAGAGGAAGTAGAATAACAGACTGCAAGTAAGCTTCATGCTGAAATTATAGGAAAGAGAAGAGCGGAGAGAAGAAAGGTGGCTGTAAGTTTTCAGCTAGCATATGCACAAACTTTAACAAATTTTCTGAGATAAGAAAAAGAGTCATGTATTAATAATGAAAAGCTAACTACTATATAAGTCGGCTGAGAGATATGTTGCAAAGGTCTATATAACAAGCAAGAAGCTATATTATTAGGCGACAGAAGATTAGCAGGAAGTGGACTTGTTTGGTTTGGACGTTTGGTGAACACTGAACACCCCTAAAATTACCATCCGCACAAAGCAAAAGCGCCTGCAAATAAGCTGTCGTAAATGGTAAATTCGGCAGATAAGTCCAAAGCATTGCATTCGGCCAGTTTAGCTGTTTTCTGTTGTCCTGGTACAGTTTGGCCGCTTTCTCTTGTCCTTGTTTACTGTATATACACACTGTACTATTACGTTATTCCAAGCAAGGGAAGTGACACTTGATGCTGAATGCGTAGGTAGGTGGTCGATCTTTCTCAGTGAACAGAACACTGCACGGACTTGAAGACGATCGGTGGCCGGCGATCGTCTTATGGCAGAAGGAAGTAGAATAACAGCCTGCAAGTAAGCTTCATGCTGAAATTATAGGAAAGAGAAGAGCGGAGAGAAGAAAGGTGGCTGTAAGTCTTCTGACTTGGCAACCGCCGCAACGCGACAAGCGCCACCTGCTTTGCTGCCGCGTGCCTGCGTGCGTCCACCACTGCCGCACCGCGTCCGCCGCCCCTGCCTCTCCACTCCACTTTCTCACTCGCGTCCTGCTTCCCCCCGCCGGCTACGCCGCGACGCCAAGGGATGGATGCGCTCCGCCACGGCCGTCCCTCCTCTCCACGCGCGTCCCGGCGCGCCGCCGCCCATGAGGTGAGTGAGTTCCTTCCTTCTCCAGTCTCCACGGGCACAGACTGTGACTGCGCGTGATGGGAGAGCGCCGTTCAGAACCTGGGTTACAGGGCTACAGGCTTAGTACTATTGAGCTGGATATTTAGTTCGGCAGATTAGTCGTGTATACTCTCGTAGCCATAAAGACCGCAGCCGGGATGCTTATGATGCGCTTTGGTGTGCGAGTATTCCTTTGCTCTTTTCCAATCGAGAGAGATGACAGGGCTCGTTCTGTCCTGTGGGCTGTGGGGTCTGGAATTAGTGGGAAAATGATGCAGGAGCAGTTGTAGTGTCTGATATTAATGTCCTCTTTTTTTTGAGAGATAGGAGTGTCTGGTATTAATGTCAAAGCCGATTTCGGTAGGAAAAATGGTTAGATTTGGGATTTGATACTGTTATAGACAGCTCAGTCTTAAAAATGATGTGTTACTTCTGGGGAATCAAGCCGGGCTATGGTGGTGTAGTCCAATTTCACGTTTTAAAGGTAGGGGATGAGAATTAAAATGTCAAAACCTTACAGGGATTTTGGTTTCTGCTGATTCTGATTTTATCAAGATGATTACATGTACAAGGGGGAGTTACAATAACTATAGTTTTGAAATTCCCTTTTGTTAGTTCTCTCAAATTAAGATCTTCCTTGTTTTGGGTGGAATGAAGGTTATTTGTACGTGGTGGAAACGAAAATGATGATTATTTGTAAACTAAGGGCATGTGTAAGCTTCAAGTAAATGTTTTACTTGTGACCTTGTTGGCTAGTTCATAGAAAGAGACATTTGTTAACAGTTTCTCGATGCCTAAAAGTGCCTCCAGTTTTCTGCTCATAATTTTACTGACTGTAAAATACAAAAAAAAAAAATTGCTGAAATAATCAAAAGCAGTGTTACCCCAAAATTCCAGACTCCCATGTAGACTGTAGTAAGGGAAGCGCTTCAAATTTCCTTTTCTTCTTTGTCTAATTCCAGACTCCCATGTAGACTGTAGTAGAGGTCTAGGGGAAGCACTTGAAGTTTCCTTTTCTTCTTTGACTAATTCCACACTCCCACGTATACTGTAGTAGTAAAAGGTGCAACGTGCATGGTTTGTCAGACTAATTAGTATGCTGATGTCGAACTTATTGGTCACTCATTATTTCATTTCATTCTGGGTGAATTTTTTTCCTTGTTACCTTCTGTAGTGCTTGGCCTAGTATTGAAATGTTTGAATTTCCAGATCATTTTCTACCACCATGTTGTTCCATCCAACAAAATGGTGAAGGGCGAATTTGCTTTTTCTAGCCAAAGGACCCAAGGTCCTGCCTTGTATCACCATCAGAAATTCTTCGATTGGAAATCCTCCTATTGTAGGATATCACGTCAGTCATTAAATACTTCTGTTAATGCTTTGGGGCAACAGCTGCAGTCTGAACCTGAAGCACATGATTCTACAACCATCTGGAGGGCAATATCATCTTCTCTAGATGCATTTTACAGATTTTTCCGGCCACATACTGTCATAGGAACAGTTAAGTCATGTTGCTGTACTATTTCATTTAGATGAACCTCCAATAAGTATGTTCTTTTGTTTCCTCTTCATTGATCAAGAGATTTCGCTGGTGTAAGCAGGCATTAAGCATAGTCTCAGTTTCCCTTCTAGCTGTCCAGAACTTGTCTGATATATCACCTTTGTTCCTCACTGGTTTGCTGGAGGTAGTGAAACTTTGAGCATCTCTATCCTTTCATTACCAGCAAGACTTATTGTTTCATGGTGCTTCTTTGTACACTTATGTAGGCAGTGGTAGCTGCCCTTTTCATGAATATCTATATTGTTGGACTGAACCAGTTATTCGACATTGAGATAGACAAGGTATTTTGAATTCACTGTAATCTCCATTAAGTAAGTACCTTTTACTACCATATTAATAACTGCTAGGAGCTAATGTTTGTACTTCTCCAGGTTAACAAGCCAACTCTTCCATTGGCATCTGGGGAATACACCCCTGCAACTGGGGTTGCAATAGTTTCGGTCTTTGCTGCTATGGTAACTATGCTCTCCGTATGGAAGAAATTGGCATTGTGCTTCATGTTGTATTTTGACCTCACTTTTCTGGATATATTGATACTGAGACGCCTAAAGTAGTATGTAAAATTAAATGGTATGCTCTTTGGAGTATTCCTATTAAAGTTGTAGAAAGGTAGAAAGCAATAGGGAAAACACCACGCACCCCTAGGTTTGGGTGACCTTTAATTATATATCTGGGATACAGCTTCTGTTATAACAAACGTACAATACGACTATACAAGCCATAGTCAAACTCTATCTCTAACAGAAGAATCGAGTATTAATCTTTGTAAATAATGGTGCTCTCAATCTCAGACATATTTCAAGGGAAAAAGTTTCAGTATTAAGGACTCTGAAATAATTGGTGCAAAATGACAATACTTGATTAAGCAATTGGAAGTCTTCGTCGATTTTTCGACTTCTAAATTTCTAATGAATTATGAGTTTGTATTGTAAAATTGTAGTTCTAGGATCTCCATTTACTAGGTTATGTGAAACAATTAGATTTAGTCACTTATGTCAATGGTTGTGTAGATTTGCGCTAATCCTGATCAGGACCTTCAAAAGCTATCCTGAAATTCTTCACTGATAGTCTATCAGACTGATTCAACAGAATGTGCCATGTGTATTGCAGAGCTTTGGCCTTGGATGGGCTGTTGGATCACAACCTCTGTTTTGGGCTCTTTTCATAAGCTTTGTCCTTGGAACTGCATATTCAATCAATGTAAGAGCTCGTGTCTTTGGGCCCAGTAGTGCTAGTTATCAAACTAGGTATAAGTAATGATTCCTTGCTCGTTTATGGGATTTATTAATGTTATTGATGGTTCATTGGTTCTCTTGTGCATTGCAAAGGATTTTTTTTATGTAAACTGCAATATAAATTTTTAATGAATATTTCATTTGCCTTCTGTAAGAACTTATTTTCCACTTCTAAGTAAGAGTAAAGTTTGGTTTTGTTTCAACGACAGTGTTGAATGACTCGAACGCAAACAGGCAAGTTTGCCGACTCCAGCAATAACACAGTTAAACAGCTTGACTACAGGAGAAACATTACACTCCGAACTAACTGCTTCATGTCTAGGGAAAACTCATTTTTCAATTATAGAAGCACCAAGTAATTAAATGCTTACACAATCCATCCTGCTTTAACTTTCACATATCTTGAAAGGTGATGCAAACTGAGAGGCATCTGTAATTGGATCCGAAGACTTACATGGGCTTTACAAATTTAACTGCTGAAGCATGTGACCCACATGTCTCAACGTAGATGGGCCAGAATGGACCATGGAGAGAAAATAAGGTTTGAAAATGAACCATAGCCCAAATCAAAGGTGGCAGTATGGTACTATTCACTTCAAAGAACATGTGGTAGTTTTAGATAGTCCTGATTTTTCTTAAATGTTCTACACCTTGGACATATGTGTTAAGGGACATTTTTTTTTCTTCATTGGAAGAACATGGGCAACTTCTTTAAAAGTACATGAACAAATTCTGTAACTTATCATGCCTTTTCTGGCATTATTTTTATCATTTAAGATAGTACCAATTTTTGTGTGCAGCAGTTGTCACTACTTGAATTACCCAAAGAAACTGTAATTTGTCTTTGGTCTTTACAGCTGCCATACCTTAGATGGAAGAGATTTGCTGTTGTTGCAGCACTCTGCATATTAGCAGTTCGTGCAGTGATTGTTCAGCTGGCTTTTTTCCTCCACATTCAGGCAAGTCTTCCTGTGGTGTCTTTGAAATTCTCATGTGGACTTTTCTTTGAAACTCAAATGATAACTGCAGCGAATGGTTTGGGTTGTCTATTTCCTGAGTCCTATCCTAACAGTCTGTCCATAATCTACCAGACTTTTGTTTTCAGAAGACCGGCGGTGTTTTCTAGGCCATTAATATTTGCAACTGGATTTATGACGTTCTTCTCAGTTGTAATAGCACTATTTAAGGTAATAGCGAGTCGTATGGAATATAACTCCTTATGATATCTAGCAAAAGTTTTGTCTGCTCTGATATCCACTCTAAATCTTGATCACTCTGTGCACTATCTTAATGCTGTATATTCATCTGCAAAGACTGAATGAAGTTTGCCATGTCTTGTAGGATATACCTGATATCGAAGGGGACCGCATATTCGGGATTCGATCTTTCAGTGTCCGGTTAGGTCAAAAGAAGGTTAGTAGGGTAAAATAAATGTTAAGAGAGCTAACACACTGGAGTCCTGGAAATACTGATACGAACCTGCATACAGGTCTTCTGGATATGTGTTGGCCTGCTCGAGATGGCTTACAGCATTGCAATACTGATGGGAGCTACTTCTTCGTCTTTGTGGAGCAAAACAGCAACTGTATGTGCCACTGGTTTTTCTCCTAGTATTCCACAGCAATTCCAATGAACGGTTTTATGATTGGCTAATAATGAATGGGTCTGAGCTTCTGTGTGAGCAAGACTGCAAGCACATGTGGTTTCTGCAATACTACTCGTTCTGCATCAACATAATTAGATTACTTTAGCTTCACCGTTTCCAATATTATATTATATTCGATGCCAATAATTGAAAAGAATTCGCCTGCTTTAGCTCGATCGTTATGAATCTTTGTTTTCCATTTTGTTACAAAACTTCCATGGCACATTTTGCAGATTGCTGGCCATTCCATACTTGCTGCGATCTTATGGAGCTGCGCGCGATCGGTGGACCTGACGAGCAAGGCGGCAATAACATCCTTCTACATGTTCATCTGGAAGGTAAGCCTCGCCTCCATTCCCGATCGTTGGCCCAGTTACCTCTTCCTCTTTTAAAATTGAAACTCCTTGCCGTGTGGTGTGGTGCCTACTGTCCTGCTGCCCAGCTTAATCACCCTCACGATCTGTCTGCACCCCCCTTGAATGAAATCCCGAAACCGTTAAACCGCGTTGATCAGTTACTGACCATTTACTCCCACGTGGCTCCGCAGCTGTTCTACGCGGAGTACCTGCTCATCCCTCTGGTGCGGTGAGGCGTGTCAAGGCGTGGCGCGAGGCGATGCGATGGATCGGCGGGTGCCGGGGCAACAACTCCACGGCAGAACTTGAGTGCTGGAGTAAACTCCCGTTTCAAAGTTGAAGCATGCACCGGGCAGGCAGTCGATGGATGGCTACGGATGGCGCCCAATAAAATTCCCACGTGCTTCCGCGGAGTACTACTTACCACTGCACGCTAGTACTTGATGACATCCCATATGTCCGGGGTGACCTGACCTGATCGTCTCTGCCAAGAGATTGCACAACGTCCAGCGCCCATCGTACCGGAGGTAACTAGACCAGGTGTGCTGTTAGCCCGTAGGCCTTGCTACCACTGCCAGTACGTTCATCTGCGCCTTGACTTGTGCAGTGGGCGTGTAGCTAGCAGTGCATGAATATGAATGTATGGTGCGTCACGGCCTGACGGTTCGTCAGTCTGGGCCGTGTTACTTCTGTTCGAAAAAGATCGCCTGTCAGAGATCCGCATTGACCGCGATACGTGGGCTACCTCAAATTTCACTACTCCCGCCCCACATCGATCGCATCGTGTTTAGACTGTTAGCATCCGGTACGTACGTGTATCTGCCGACTGCTGCGGCACTCACCCGGAGATACCTAAGTCCACGCGCATTCAACGCAATACATCACACATGGAGGCTCTCTCGTCTGGCACGTCAAAAATTTTTTGGCTTCGTTTAGATCCATTGGTCTCTTAGCAATCTAATCAACTAATGTCGTTTTGTGAGGTTGACTAAATTTAAGAGAGATGAGAGCTCAAGAGCTACTCCCTCTGTCCCAATAAAAATGTCGTTGGAGCGCTCGACGCGCCTACCAAGACCGAAGGGAAATGACCAGAATGCCCCTAGCATGTTCTTCTCTCTCCGTTCCTCTGTTCTCATCCAGAGTGGAGGCGCCGACCGGGGTTCTCGAGGCGCCGACGGTGACTGGCGACATCTCCGGCAACCACTCGTGCCTGCCCCTCGTGCTCGCCCTCACCGGTGGGAGAGAAGAGGAGGGCGCTGTCAGAGATCTCTGGGTGGATCCCGGTCGGTTCCGCATCGAGCGGCGCAGGGGAGGCCGCGACCCGCGCCACCGGTCTTCTCGCGTCGCGCGCCACCAGGGAGGCACAACCCGCCCGGTCGCCCGCCGCCGCTCAATCCCGGACGGATCCATTGACTCCGGGCATGTTTGCTCTTGTTTGTAGGCTACGCTCTGTATATTTTTAAATTCTCTTTCAACCTGTTCGCTTGTTGGTTTCAGCCAGGGCTTATCAGTCAGTCAACAGTGTTTTCCTCTCACAACAAACCAGCACCAGTCGGACTTATCAGCCCAGAAACCAACCAGCGACCATACCGTTTGTATCTGGTCTATTGAAAGATAAAACACCTGCCGATTTGCTTAACAAAAACTCCCGTGATGACCAGTATAGGAGTAATGTACTATGTACACACTGACGGGTGGTCCGGCCCTCTATTTACGGCGGTGGCCACCGAGCAGCACCGCTCCCGCTCGGGATCAGCGCACACGGGTTCCCATGCCCTTAACTCGCCTCTGCGAGCGGAATTACCGTGCGCCTGCACAAACACAGGCAGATGATGATATCTTGACCTGCTGCTGGTAGCCGCGGCGTCGTGGCCTGCTCCGGGTACAGCCTGGCCGGCTCCAGTTTGGGAGGAGGAGGATTTTTTGTATCTGCACCGGGGCACGGTGGAATGAACGGGGAATGTAGCATCATCCGGACGACCAGACGCTCGAGAATGCAACGGTGCTGGCGTTGCTCAAGGTTTGTCGTCGTCTCGTCTCACGTCTCTATTACTATCAGTGATTAGTGTGCCGTTGGCATCGGCATGCACGTACGGTTGCGTCAAGGCTGCCAATACCACCAACGAGAAACCCACAAATGAATGTGATAACGACTTAACGAGCCACGGAACAAAAAGGCAGCCGGCAGCGCCTGCCGTGGACGATGTCTCTCCCTCGTCTCCCCTGCGCGATTTTGCTGCCGGCGCCGGTTGACATTTGCATGATTCGGTGCAGTACCAGTGTACCACGACCACGATTCTTAGAGAGTGACGCCGTCCATAAATGATAAATCTCAGTACCCGTGCAGCCGTACCAGCCAGCCAGCTGCATGCACTGATGCACGCATGCCCCCACCGCACGTGACGAGTGCACCCAACACGTTGCGCCACTCACGTACGCGCCCGATCGACGGCCCGAGCCACTGCCGTCGTCCTCGCCCATGCTTTCCGGATTAAACGACCGACCAGTCGACAACGACGCGCGCGCGCACACATAAAAATTGTACAGCAACGATCAGAACTCAGAAGCGACACGACACACAGAGACACGACATGACTCGTCCTGGTTCCGAGCCGTCTGATCGAGATCAGGCCGTTCTGAGTTCTGGCCGGAGCGAGCGAGGCGGTTCCCCCGGCGGACGGAGCACGGTGACGATCATGATGAATGAATGAAAGTAATATAAAAGGTAAAAATAAAAAGTAAAAATCCGACCGAGCACGTGACGCGGGGGCTTCGCTAAACCCGTCCCGAATCCCAGCCACGTGGGATCATCAAAGTGCATCAAGCCGCCGGCGGGCCGGGCGGGGCCACTGGGCCGCAGCCTGCAGGACATCCTGGGCCAGTGGGGACGAGGCCGTAGTAAATGGAAGGCTCCATCAATGCTCCGGCCCGGGGACACCTCAGTTACTGGCCCGCCTCCGCTCCGCTCCGCTCCGCTCCGCTGGGACGGCTGCCGGATCCCACCACCGTACGGCCCCGGTCTCCCCGCCCAGTTCCGCGATCTCCGACGTCCGACCTGAGGTGAGTGCACGTGAACCCAGTGACGGACATAGGTTTTTATCTCTGGTATGCGCAGAAAAAAATTTCTTATGCAATCTGATAAACCCCAACAAAAAAAAATTTACATTGAAAAATTCTACCTATCTCTATGACTGACGGACCCCAGGGTATGCGGTGGCCCACCCTGCATACCCTGTGGGTCCGTTCCTGCGTGAACCCCCCGGATCACCCACCACGCGAATCAAATCATCTGCCGCCTCCGATTGCCCACATTACGTGGAATCCATGTTTATTGTTTCCCGCTGGCTGATCTAGGATCTTCAGTTGCATTGGTGCAACCTGGAATGGGACCTTCGTTTCACCAACCATTCTTGTCTGAACACTGTGCCACATTATAAGTGTGAAAAAGGGGCAACATTAGAATATACTATGTGCAATTAGAAAATAATATGTTATTAGATTCGCTTATGCATTAAACACTTCGACTAATGGGTCGAGCAAAGAAAGTGGCTTTTTCTTTGAGTCCCACACCTTATACGATTTCTTTTAATGGTCATGTTCGCTTCTTTTATAATCCGTCTTTTTCAGCTTGTTTTTTCAGCCGGAACAATGTTTTTCTCTCACAGCAAATCTGCCGGAACAGTGTTTCGGCTTATTTTTCCAGCGAAGCGAACGGGGCCAATATCGACAACAATAAAGATGAAATGGTTGCTGCAATCATAAAACCCTAGTTAACGAATAATCATAACTACAAAAAAACAAGCATAAAAATAAGAGCAGAGAACACATACTTGCAGTTGTAGGCTAGAAGTATTTTGGTTTTATTACTCATCTTGAAATTTTTGAAAATGGCAGTCAGTGTCTCCGTCAGATATTCCACTTTATTTCCATGTATTCCTTCGCATGTTCTCTTGTTGACTAGCTCGGGGTCCAAGAAAGACATATGAGCGTACTTTGTTTTGAAGCAATATTTTGCTACACACATGTATAATTCATGGGGAATGTGCAGTCGTTAACTATTTATGTATCGAGAGAGTAGTTAATTATAATATCGTGCGAGTAGGGTACTTACATAGTCCACAGCGTCAACATTTGTGTATTGAGATCGCATCTCTGGAATAGCTAAAACAAGTGATCACAACCGACAAAGTGCTTCTCTTCATTACGATAATGGAAAACATGCGACAGACGGATAATATATTCGAAACCCGCCTATCCCGTCTCAAGTGCTTGGGCCACGTAATAATCATGCAAGTCCCGCATATATGTTGTCAAATTTTTATACTCCTCCTCGTCCACCAAGAAATTGCCTCTTTGAAACTGCATTACCGGTCTTGCCGTCTCATATGCTAGTGAATCATAATAGATGTTCACGACATCATCCCTACTTAATCCGAGGTTGTCTTCGAAAATCTTGTTTATCTTCCTTTAATCTTCATGGTGTATTTCTTCGACTCATAATTGATTGTGCTTACTCTCTGTTTGCCTATTGAATTCGGACTGCACCCTCCACTTAGGCAATGAGGCAAACAGATTCTAGAATCTAACTTTGTCTTCCTTGGAGGCTACTTCTGGCTTTTGTTGGTTCATCAAGTTTGTAACGCTGCCATTCATCGTTCTTTTCTTTTTTTGTTAGTCCACTTTGGGAGCATTAGTGACCGAATCCGAGGACCTTTTCTGCGACTGCGATGATGCCTTAGATCTTGTTTTGGGTTGTTGTGGAGGAGGAGGATAAGAATTATGTTTTCTCGAGGGTGATAAGAGGGAGGAGGTGGAGGAGGAGTCTTCTCTTTTCTTAGGGCCGATGAAGATGGAGGACGAGGAGGAAGAGAAGACTTCTGTCTTCTCAGGGTGATGGCAAGGAACTAGGGAAGGTAGTGTGATCTCCTCTGTTGGGAGATGGTAAGTGATCATCTCTGGGCGGCAAAGATTCGCCGTCGTCCTTATCATCATCCGAAGACAACAGGTGATCAAGCTTAATAAAGCGCTTGCGCTAGGCCACATGAGTGCCCTTGTTCTGAACAAGGCGTTGCCTATCTTCCTATGCAGGGTAATCAATGTGCATCTTGTTATACATCTTATCAAGTATAGTATCAATGCTGACGTGGGCATACTCCATTGGAATTGGGCGGCCATTAATGGTCCCGTCTCCCGCAGGCCAGGCCTGGCAGACCACCACCTTGTTAGTTGTCCATTGCTGATGGATGTACAGCCTGACATTAACGGGTTTGGTGATGCTGTCCATCGGATGAGGTGCATTCGCCTCTTCATCATCGAGCGAGCTCGATCCGCAGCTGCTGCGACCCCTGAACTGTGGGCTAAAGCTAGTCGGAAGAGGTTCTTGTGGTACTACTCCCGATCCCATGGACGTCATAAGTACATTGACTTTTCTTGAACGCTCTCATCAATCTGTTTTTTGAATTTATCTTCCATCTCTTTTAGAACCCTCATATACTCTGCCTCTTGTGCCACTCTACCCCTCGAGCGGCTCCGATAAGTGGAAGATTCTTTCTTGAATGCTATTTTCCAAGGAACAAGACCGGCTCCTCTAGTGCAACTAGGGTGCTCCTTGTTTCCGGCGTGGATGACCGTGGGATGGGGGACGGTGGCATGGAGGACCACCGGTGTTGAGGCTCGCGGCGTTGAGCATCGCGATGTGGTGGACCGCGGGGCGGGGGACGGTGCCAGGCGTCTTCCTCGATAGGGCGGGGCACACCGTGAAGTACGACCGCCGATGTAGAGGAAGAGGAGGGCTCGAGGGTAGCGGATGGGGGCGCACGGGTGGAGGCAGTGCTTCACCGGCGTGGAGGAAGAGAGCGGCGCAGGCGTTCGAAAGAGGTCAAATAATTTGCCATCATGTGCTCGGTTTATATAGTGATGGTGCATCACTGCTGGTGGTCAAGCCAAACCGACAGTGATGAGGGCTCATCACTACCGGTGCTAGCCTACCCGTTATGTAGATTTAGTTTTGAGTTCCTTTTGAACTCGTACAACTAGCACAGCGGTTAAGGCACCGCACTCTTGATCCTAAGACCCGCGTTCAAACCCTGAATAGTCCAGTCGGGCCAAATTTTTTTGTTTTAATTTTTAATAACCTAACTACATTATAACTAAATAAAAGAAAATAGAAAACTAAACCTAACACAATTACTATCCTAGCGCAGCGATTAAGACACTACACTCTAGAGCCCAAAACTTAGGTTCGATCCTTGGGCACTGTTCACTTAAACGACCGTTTAGCCTGCTTATACACCGTTTAAACGCTACATAGTGGTACACCGTTTCTGTTTAATCGGTTGTTTTGACCGTTTAAACGGCCGTTTTCCCATTTAAACACCCGTTTTGCCCGAATAATGGGCTAAACGGTAGGTGACCGACTGTTTACCGTTTAGCGTTTAGGATAACACTGTCCTTGGGTGGGTCAAATTCTTTTAATTTTGTTTTATTTATGAATATAAACTAACTACACTATAACTAAATAAAGAAAAATAAAAGACTAAACACAACACAATTACTATCTTAGCGCAGTGGTTAAGGCACTACACTCTGTCGCTCAAGACCCGGGTTTGAACCTCGGGCAGGCCAAATTTTTTGAATTTTGTTTTATTTTTGAATCTAAACTAACTACACTATAACAAAATAAAAGAAAATAAAAAACTAAGGTAATGCAAGTACTATCATAGTGTAGTGGTTAAGGCACACTACTCTAGACCTCGAGACCCATGCTCGAACTCGAGGGTAGGCACAATTTTTTTAAAATATACCTATCATTGTCGGTTTTCAAAATGAAACCGACAGTGGTAGTTGTCATCACTGTCAGTTTTTGCCCATTACTGTTAGTTTTATATATTTTTCCTTTTTAAAACAGAATAAATTCACGCATTTATGTTCCTATTGCACCTATGTCCAAATGGCTTGAAATTTTTTTTGCAAGCATGTACACCCAAATTATGACCCACACAAGATCTTAGGTTTTTTTGATTATTTTTATTATTATTATATTTTTCTTTGTGCTAAACGGGACAAAAGAGGCCCAATTACATGTTGGGCACACTAGAATTTTGCATTCACCTCGACCAAAAATTGGTCCTTAGGGCACATAAGACCCCGTGGAAAAGTTTGGCACCATTCTGAATCGTTTTGGGGTAGGCTCAGTTCAACCTCTAATTAATCGGTGATGTCGCGTGGAAATTTAATTAAACAGCAGAAAGTAC